CATCGTCCTTTGTGTGGGCACCCCACACTTAGTCCTCACCATCTAGCTCGCTTTTGCACTCTTGCGACCAAACACACTCACGCAAGTATACGCGGTCGCAACAAAAATAAATACTACAAAATAATAAAAATAAAATAAAATAAAAAGTGAACAAAAATAAAAGAAAGCAATAAAGCTGGGTTGCCTCCCAACAAGCGCCTGATTTAACGCAGCGGCACGACGTGAACCACTTTTTGCCTCCACCTCGAACTTATGAATTGAGCCCCTAACATGGCATCCAGTTTGCGGCTATGCTCCAGTGGTGGGGCTACAAAGATAACCAGGCCAAGTAATAAATTTTTCACTCTACACTTCTCGGCCTTTAGATGAGGAATGTATTTTTTGCTTTTTGGCATGACAAATTCAAAAATATAGGCATCATGTTCCTCTTCCATTGACTCCTCCAAAGGCTTAGATGACTCGATTTCCATGTCATCATCCAAATACAATGTCGAAAAATGTTTAGAATGAGGACCAACACGCCCCAACTTTAGAATTGTATTACTATTTATATCCTCATATGTGCACACATTAGAGTCTTCAAATATAACATTATCTGCTACCTCGCATGGCTCTAGTGTACTTTTCTCAACATGGGCATCATCAACAGAAATATGCTCGAATGATTGGCTCTCCACTTTTAGCTCCTCAATTTGGCGTATAAGCTCCTTTTCAGCTTCTGACAACTCATTACTATTTTGTTGGGCGATAGACGCAACAACCTTTGCATTTAATTTATCTTGCAAGTCGTGAATAGTAGTGACAAATTTATAGATCCCTTGTCCCAGTTTAGATCTTCCCTCTATAAAGTGTCTCATCCCATCAGTAAGTTCCTCATGTTGAGCTTCATATATTTCTAACTTTTCAGCCTGTTCTGCCAGCCAAGTTTGGCTCAAAATCTCCTCTTTTTCAAAAATTTTCTCTTGCTGGTACTCGCTCTCTTCATTCAATTCTTCCATATTGGCCTTCATTCTTGTGATTGCTGCCCTCATTCTTTTCATATCTTTTTTGAGTTCATCCTGTTGCTCTGCTACTTGCCTCAGAATATCCCTAATATATGCATCAGGCTCCATATCCTGCACTTCATTGCCCCTATCAAACTCAGAAATATCATTAGAAAGATCATAATAAGGGCTCAGAGAAGGATGAACAAAATTAGGACAACCATCCCAATGGCCATCTTGACCACCACACATATTACAAATATTCCACTCAAAGGATTGAGATTGTGCGCACAACTCGCTCCTGGGAACATTCTGACAATTTTTCCACCAGTGGGGTCCTCCACAATATGGACAAGGATCATCAAAATAAGAATAACCATCATTCGAACAATTTTTATTCCAAGATGCCATGCTAAAATAAATAAAAAATACTAACTAAAATAAAATAATAAAAAAAACATGAATAGATAAAAAAAAATGTCTAATCTAGAAAAATAGCTAATTTCTAAGTCCCCGGCAACGGCGCCAAAAACTTGTTGCGACCAAACACACTCACGCAAGTATACGCGGTCGTCAAGTAATAAAGTGACTAAAAGTCGGATGTCGAACCCACGAGGACTTATGATTAGCTATTAACTAAATTAGCCTATCTTAATTATCTAAACAAGAATTAAATCTAAAAATATTTTATTCTAACTAATTAAATAAGAAAAATATAAATAATAAACTTTGAACAGAGAAAGAGCAGATTTTAATGATATCAATGTAATGAAAACGATCTAGGGTTATGGGCTATCTAACAATCCTATTGTATTCTTCAATTGAATTGACCGACTAATTTATCTAGCTTATTGGTTGACAGGGTTAATATTGCTCATAAGAATCTGTCGAGTTCTTACTCGCCTATTCAAGCTAACCTAACGCCTATATGTCTATGGAGTTAGAATCAACAAGAACGCATTTATAATTCCTGTAAATCAACCAAGCAAGGCAATTAGGTATATGTCTATCCTAACCACGAATCCGTTCCCCGATGCCCGAGTTCAAGAACTTGCCCTACTCAATCCTATATGCAATATAGAATTCCCACTTTCGAGTTCAATTCTAGATTCGTAGATAGTATTCAATTGGTGATCAAGCAATTAAATAATTAAGCGCAAGATTGAATAAATAAACTAATATGATAAATCAAGAAGTCAAAATCAATATCCGAATAACAATAGTCATGAAAGAACCACAACCCTAGAACGTGAAGTTTAGCTCCACATAGACATGGTAGCCAAACAACAAATCATATAAAGAAACATAAAAATTACTAAGTTTGGTGGAAGAAAGATGGAACTTGATGAATTCCGACCTCCACAGCTTTGTCGTGGCTTTTTCCCTCTTCCTAATATGTTAGATGACCTAAAAGAGGCGTTTTTAGCTTATATATTGCGTACAAAAGTCGTGGGCCAAAGTTCTNGGGCCAAAGCTTGTCCATAAAATGGCAAGACAAGAGGAGTGAGAACTCAATAACTAAGATATTAAACATTTTAATATCTAGATATGTTTATCTTTCTCGTTTGCTGCTTCATTGGGTAAGACACATAACAGGATTAGTAGAAGTGCAAAACAAAGAAGTTAAGCATAAATATCTTCAGTAACAAATGATGTTTCGATATCCATACTAGTGTCAGGTGGACACTGAAGTTGTTCATAGTTTATTTGTCGAGAAGCTTCATATACAGCAATACCAACACTTACCGATAAATTCAAGCACCTAACGTATGTTTCAACCATGGGAATACGTAGGGTTCCTCCTCCAAGAGATTCACTCTTGCAATCAAGTAGGGCTTCAGGTGGTAATCCTTTAGTTTCTGAGCCAAATACAAGCCAATCACCCTTTTTGTAGGAGAAGTCCTGCATCAATGATACTAGAGTTACATCAAATTCGCGTTATAAGGAAGGATTTGCTTGTATTAATCCGGCTTTCATCGTGAAAGGGAGTGGATCGGCACGAATACCCTTAATTAACATAGTGTGTTTCATTAGACAGATAACCTTAGATGAGAAAAGCAACAATGCTTGGCTTGGTAAGAACTGTAAGAGGAAAATCTTCGGCTTGTCAATAAAAAATACTTCTGGAGCCAAGAAGAGTTCCAATTTAGCCATGTTCCTTACAATTTTCAAATGCAGTCAAGAAAGCAAAGTGGAAACATAATTTTTGCTCCTTTCTGTCCACCTATTGGAAACAAATAATTAAAGTGGTGTCGTCTACCATTTCCTTGTTCTATCGAAATTATTTTCCTTTGTGCCTTCTGCCTCCTACTTCTCCAACCTCAGCAGCCAAATAAAAGGAAATAACATAAAAGAAACGACTGCCAATTTTTTGTATGGCTAGATCAGCAACAGCTAAAAGTAGTTACTTTTTTCTTTAGACAGACACAGACAGCATTTGGCTTCTCGGTAAAACGCTCACCAGTAACTCAACTATGGCTCAGTTCCAAACTTGTTGGAGTCACCGAGGAAGAATAATAGTATAAAACTGTAAGGAAAAAGGAAAGCTGAGAGCAACTGAAATGATATGCTCAAAATCATTTGAAATTCTTAGAACATGAGAGAGAGAAGGAAAGTATTTAAGACAGCAAGAGGTGGTTGATCAGAAAAACTGTAGGGCATCATCCAAAATAATTTCGACTAGGCCTAAAATTAATTTAATTTAAATTAGTCTTGCACCCAAATACTTTATGGCCTATGTCAGATAAACTAGACGAAAATCTGCAGCACCAGCATTTAGTGTACCATTACAGAATTTACAGTGACAGCAAAAAGATTTCATTCTATGTTTTGTTCCCAAGTCAAGACAGAATAACTTATTTTCAATTTGCTAATAAATTTCCCGGGGGTAAAAGCTGAGAGAAAATATGAGTAGAAAAAAAACATCTAACTTACTGAATGTGTAGTTGTTCCTCTCTTTGTAAATGCCAACAGCCTCTTTTCCCCAGCCTGAACAGAAGGAAAAAGAATGAATTTAGTCCAAGTCATCTGAATGTTTTGAAGGTAGACGAATGGGGTAAAAAGAGACCTGTCCCCTGAAATACTCGCGGAATTCATCCCAAGACCGATGCACTTTGACAACAACGTATCTGTTGCGAAGAGTTAACAGTTGAAAACTTTCTGAAAATCGCCAACCATACAATATAGAGATCTACAGACTACAGATACACGCACTATAAGAGAACTCTTATAATTGAAATACTGACATTTGAAAACATGACTAACCGAAGAAATGATTAAATGCAGCAAAACAGGACAATCAATGAGCAAAGCTATGGGTATTGAGCAGCTATTCATAACTCTCCAACTATATCAAAAATAGATGTCAAAAGATCTGGCAAGTCAAGAAACAGGCAAAGAATCCGAAAATAAAACTAACAAACTAAAGAATATAAATGATAATTTGCAGTTTCACAGCAATTAGTAAAAAAACAAGTATAAAAGATTATGAAGAGTTTCGGATATCAGTACATTGCACAGGAACACTCTCCTAGATCAAAGATATTATAAAATCACAACTAGTGAACTGCTGAAAGGATACGGCCAATAATCAAGTCCAGCGCGCTTCAACTTTGTATTATCAATTGGAAATCCTAACGGCTGCAGAAGCAAAGAAAATTAAAATACGGGTCTTGATGTCACTAGTAAAAGAAGCCAGTATATTTTACTGGTCAAAAGTAACAGCTGTTCTAGCACCATGCAAAATTACTACAGAGATACTTAAACTAAAAAATGTGCATAGATACCTCAACTAGGTGCAGTCCAACAGCTGAGGCTGCACAAGTTCTTGCTATGCTTCCAGTGTTTCCAGGTATCTGTTGATACAGAGAAATAGAAGAGATGGAACCATTCAGTTGTTTTGCAATCCAATAATATGTGTTCTAATGTTTATGTGATCGTTAGTTTCCCTGCTTATGAAGATGAAGTAATAAATACACCATCAAAGAGAAAATGTAAACATCCTATGGCATAGAATGATAACGTTGTATGATTCACCTATTTAACTTCTTTATACACTAACAAATTGCAGACAAAAATCCATGTATCTCCAGCTAGACCAAGCTGATGGAAACTGTCAAATCTCAAACTGTATCAAAGCATCGGCTATCAATACCTTTTAATCAAAAGAATCTTTTTTACAGACTCTTTAAGTTAGAAAAAAATACCTTTAATTACCTATGGGAGGCGGGGCCGGGGAGAGGGAAGAGAAAGAGAAATTTCCTTAATTTGTTAAGATAGGGGAAAGAAATAGAAAGTTTCTCAAGACGGACTAAATGAACTGAAAAGTTAAGTCAGGTTAACATGGTTGGACACTGGACGGTCATACACTTCTGCCAGACTCCTACCTGTTTTTGTCACCTTCTCCAGTTCAAATACCACACAGAGGAAATAATTATCCAACACGCTGGCGACAAACAGTGTAATAACTTTGGGAAGATAAACAAGCTTATTTAGCTAGGTTACATCATACGGCCCATCAAAATTGAATCTGTAACTTACACTAAACCCAAACCATTCCAAAATCTTGACATTTGTCAAGATCTTAATAAGTAAAAGAACCATTAACACTGTTACAGTCCCTTATATCCTTAACATGTTAATTATTGCAAAACCACCCAACCAACTGATAAGCTCAAGAAAACTGAACTAGGATACTTAAGGTTGCAGCACCTGATACTTTTGCCTCAGATTTATTTAAAAATTACTATATATTTTGGCCTCAGTGTGTGTCTGTAGCTCAAAAGACATTCACTAACACTGCGTATTAGATTTATGATTATACTATAGTTACTTCTAGTACGAAGCAGACACTAATAATTGATTGCATTTAGTGGAATTCCAACCCATCTAGAAATCAAGAAATGCCTAATTCACATTGCAAAACTAAGTAATTTGATTGGCAAAATAATATTTAACTTCCTTTATAGACAGGCACATATTCCAGCTCACAAATTCCAATTCATTCATGTTCAGATAGTACTCTATCAATAGCATATCCAACTACTTAACCGTTTTATAGGTTGTGAAAAGAAAGTGTAAGATCCCAATTCCACTTAATACCTACTACTCCCTCCGTTCCAATTTATGTGAACCTGTTTGACTGAGCACGGAGTTTAAGAAAAAATGAAGACTTTTGGAATTTGTGGTCCTAAACAAGTCAAAAAGGGGTCCAGAGTATTTGTGTGGTTATAAAAACTTCTCATTAAGGGTAGAATAGGAAGTTTAAGCTAAATTGTTTCCAAATTTATAAAGGGGTAATTCTTTTTGGAACGGACCAAAAAGGAAATAGGTTCACATAAACTGGAACAGAGGGAGTACTAGTCTACTACTAGTCTCTCCTTGAAATTGTATTAAGAAGAAGAAGAGCAGAAAGGTACAGACCCAGTAGAGAAGAAGAGGAAGAAGACGGAAGAGAGAAGAAGATGATGAAAAATGAGAAAATGTTATTCTTTCATTATTGTTTCAAGCGCACATACATGTGTATATATATATTAACACTTGTCTAACTAACTTAACCATCTACTTAATTCTAAGTAGTTGAGTATAGTGAAATGACTAATCTACCCTCTAATGAGTTATGTAACACCTTTCTCAACACTCCCCCTCAAGCTAGGAAGTGCAAAGATGTTCAAAGCTCCTAGCTTGGAATTGAGATATTCATGTTGAACTCGATTAAGTCCTTTTGTCAGAATGTCAGCTGGTTGATCTCTTGTAGGAATGTATTTTGTTGTGATCAAGCCTTGCAAGATCTTTTCCCTAATGAAATGACAGTCGATTTCGATATGCTTGGTACGTTCATGATAAACTGGATTTGCCGCAATCTGCATAGCTGCCTTGTTGTCACTATAAACATTCACATGCTGTTTAACATCAATTCCCAGTTCTTTTACTAGTCCAAGTAGCCAAATTAACTCTGCTACTGTTGATGCAAGACTCCTATATTCAACTTCTGTTGAGCTTCTGGAAACAGTAGTTTGTTTCTTAGACTTTCAAGCAACTAATGACTCACCAAGTTTGATCAAATAACCAGATACAGATTTTCTAGAGTGAGGGCAGGCTGCCCAATCAGCATCACAGTATGCTGTAACTTCATTGCTGCATTTGTTGGACAGAAGAACTCCTTGTCCTGGTTGTTGCTTTATAGCCTGTTTGGCCAAGCTTCTCAAGAGGCTAAAAGTGTTTTTTTCTCAAAAGCACTTATTTTTCTAACTTGAGGTGTTTGGCCAAGTTTTTTGGGGGAAAAAAAGTATTTTTGGGAAGAAGAAGAAGCAAGTTTCTGAGAAGCAGAAAAAAGTAGCTTCTTCCCAAAAGCAGAAGCAGAAACAGTTTTGACTTTTCTTCTTACCAAAAATACCCTTAACAAAATATAGTATATACCAAAATAACCGTTAAACCTAATACTTATGATATTAATGTATAAAAATTTCTTATTATTTTTAGGATAGTTTTCTAATATATAGTGAATTTAGAGGTGAATGCTTTTATATTTGTTGAATAATTTTTAATACATTTAACTTATATTAAAAGAATTAAGTACTTTTAAATTTTATTTTCATATTTTATTTAAATAAAATGAAAAGATTTAATTATTTCTTGCAATAAAAAAAATTTAAGATTATTTATTTACTTATAATATTAACTATTAAGTAAATTTATTAATGTCCTTATTCGTAATTTGATACTTAAAATCACTTTCTGAAAAGCTTGGCCAAACACAAATTATTGCTCAAAAGTGCTTTTCAGAATGATTAGCCAAACACAAACTGATTCTCTCCAAAAATACTTTTTTCAAAAGCACTTTTAAAAAAAGCACTTCTCAAAATAAGCTGATTTCTCCAGCTTGGTCAAACAGGCTATTAGATATCTTACAATTTTGAGTGCAGCTTCCATATGACATTTTTTAGGCTTCTGTAAAAATTGGCTCAATGTTTGAACACTGAAGGAGATGTCTGGTCGACATCCTTGTCTTTTTTGACATATTCATCATACTCTCTGGTAGTTAACTTCATGTTGAAATCCAAAGTAGTTATGGCAGGTTTTGCTGCTCCCAGGCCTGTTTCCGAGATCAATTCTAGTGCATATTTTCTCTGATGCATTAGGATTCCTTGACTGGATCTTGCAAACTCAATGCCAAAAAAATATTTGAGTTTACCTAAATCTTTCATTTTGAATACTTGTGGTAGACCTGTCTTAGTGTCTTCAATTAGCTTTAGGCTATCTCCAGTTATAAGCATGTCATCAACATAAACTAAAACTATAGTGATACCTTATGATGTCTTTTTGAAGAACAATGAGTGATCATATTGACTCTGATGGAAGTGAGTTTTCAGTAAAGCCTCAGTTAGCTTGGCATTCCATTGCCTTGGTGCTTGTTTTAATCCATACAAGGATTTAATAAGTCTACATGCTGGTTTCCTCTCCCCCTGACTGTTAAATCCTTGAGGTAAATCCATGTAGATATCATCATAGAGGTCCCTTTGAAGAAATGCATTATATACATCCATTTGATGTATATGCCAATGTTTGGCATCAGCTATTGCTAGGACAGTCCTTATAGTCTTCATTTTTACAACTGGTGAAAACGTTTCTTGGTAGTCAATTCCTTCTTTTTGGCTAAATCCTTTTGCGACCAACCTAGCTTTAAATCTTTCAATTTCCCCTGTAGCTTTATACTTTATTTTGTAAATCAACTTGCATCCTGTAGGTGATTTACCTTCAGGTAGTGGAACTATATCCCAAGTGTGATTGTTTTTTAAGGCTTCAATCTCAGCCTTCATGGCATCTATCCATCTAGGATCTTTGACAGCCTCATGGTAGTTTGCAGGTTCAGATACAGAAGAAGATGCAGCAATAAAGGATTGATAGGTAGGAAAAATATTTTCATATGTTATGAATTTAGAAAAGGCATAGGGAGGCTCCTGTTGAATGTTTAAAGACACAAAGTCTTTCATCCAAAGTGGTGGTCTTTTGTCTCTATTTGATTTCTTCAAAGTCTCTTTTGTTGACAGAGTAGAATTTTGTTGACTAGATGATTGAACTTGAATAGTATTTGAAGGTAAGGTTTCAGTTGCTACCTCAAATATTGTGTTCTGTTGTGATGCTTCAGAGGTAGTATGCTGTAGTTGATCAGCTGATAAGTTTGGGCTTTGTCGATTTGAATCTTCTGTACCATTGTGGAAATCACCAACTTCAATTGTTTGAAAGTCATTATGACTTGGTTCAATAACTTCAGTAGTGAATGGCTGACTGGTTCCTCTGATATTTGTTGAAGGCTGTTAGTCATGAAAATAGGCTGAACTTTGGTTTGATTGAGAGTTTTGAATGGAAGGATGTCTTCTTTGAAGATAACATCTCTGTTGACAAAGAAGGTCTTGTTGTTAATGTCATATAGTAGATATCCCTTTTGAGAGGTTGCATATCCCATAAGAATGGTTGCCTTAGACCCGGGCATCAGTTTATCTTGTTCTTGCACTATTTTTGCATAGCATAAGCATCCTAGTACTTTAAGATGTTTTAGTGAAGGCTTCTTCCCATACAATTTCTCATATGGAGACTTGTTTGCTAGTACAGAACTTGGCATTCTATTAATCAGATAGGTTGCAGCTAATACACAGTATCCCCAAAACCTTATAGGTATGTGTCCCTGAAATCTAATTGCTCATGTGACTTCTAAAATATGTCTGTGCTTTCTTTCAGCCACACCATTCTGTTGTGGTGTGTAGGCACAGGTTGTATGATGGATTATCCCAAGATTATTGAACATATTGTTGTAGGTTGTATACTTGTATTGACAAACTCAGTATCATTGTCAGTTCTGATGACTTTAATTGTTTTGTTAAATTGAGTCCTTACAAGCATTATGAATTGTTGAAGAATAATGCAGACATCAGACTTAAGTTTGAGCAAAAACAGCCATGTTGTTCTGGAAAAGTCATCCACCACTGTTAAGAAATACTTGTTACCATCAAATGTAGCTACTTTATATGGTCCCAAAGATCTACATGAACCAAATCAAATGAAGCAGTAGTTTTAATGCAACTAGTAGGAAAAAGTTGTCTTGTTTGCTTTGCACATGGGCATACAGCACACTTATTCACTTTTTCTGCTATAAGCTCTAGTTTAATAGGTAGTAACTTCCTAAGTACATTTGCTGATACATGTCCAAATCTCCTGTGCCATAAATCTATATCCTCTACTGAGCTGAAATCATAACTGGCTGAACTTTCAGTAGCTGTAAGAGTAACTTCACTTCTGTTTCCAGCTGCTTGACTTCTTAGTATGTACAGACCATCATCTTCCTTACCAATCGCTTTCACCTTCCCAGTGAAGAGCTCCTGAAAAATACAAAAATCAGGGAAGAAGGCTACTAAGCATCTCAACTCTTTTGTCAGTTTAAAAACTGAGAGTAGATTGAATTTGAATTGAGGAATGTAAAACACATTAGTTATTGTGTTTCTACTTGCTAAGGTACTAGCTCCCGTGTGTGTAACATGTGTCACATCTCCATTAGGCATAAACACTCTTTTTGGATACTGAGTTTGAACTATAGTAGACTTGTCCAACAAGTCCATGTCTGCTATCATATGGTTGATAGCCCCAGTGTCTATTATCTAGTCTTTAAAATACTTAGATGTACCTGCTACATTGGCATTAGAAGTTGGCCCAGCATTGTTGTTTAGCATATGGAGGATCTGCTCATACTGCTCTTTAGTAAAGGTGCAACTGGTCAGCTGACCTTGCAATTTAAGTTGATTACTCATGTTCTGCCTCATTGATTGGTTTGCAGTATCTATTGATCCAGTGAACTGGCCAAATGCATTTCCTGCAGTCTAGTTGTTCTGCAAATTGTCTACATTTAGAACATTATAGGCAGCTGCATTATTGAACCTTGTGTTTCCTGTGTATTGATTGTTTTGAGCTGCAGATTCAGTCAGTGTGTTATGAGCAGTATAGTTCCCAACTCCCCCTTTCTTCCGGAGTTTAAAATCTTTAGGATACCCCACAATTTTGTAACAATTTTCTTTGCTATGACCTCTGAGTTTGCAAAACTCACATTGAACATTGTAGTTCTTCTTTACTTTCTGATTAAACCTTTGATTTCCACCTGTTCTTGAGTACATAGCCACATCATATTGTCCGGCAACATTAGTTGAATTTGCACCTAATAATCTTGTTGAAGCTGCTACTGTTTTTTGGCTTTCATCACTTATGATCATTGCATATGCCTGATTGACAGTAGGCATGGAGCTCATTAATAGAATATGGCTTCTTGCTTGACTGTATGAGTCATTTAACCCCATTAAGAAGTGAAACAATTTCAATTTCTGCAAATGCACTACAAATTCTTTTGATTTTTCACAATCACAACCAGGGGATGGAACCAATGCTTCAAATTCTTCCCACAAATCCTTCAATTATGAAAAATAAACAGACACAGAGGCAGTTCCTTGACTTAAGGTTGCAATTTCTTTATGCAGATTAAAGGATCTTGCACCGCCTACTTTGTTAAATCTTTCATACAAATCATTCCAAACTGCTTGAGCACTTGAAGCATACATAATTCCACCTAATAATCCACTAGCTACAGAATTCATGATCCAAGAAAGGACTATTGCATTAACTCTTTCCCAATGATTCCACATTATTTCTGAAAAAATTTCTTTAGTACAAGAACTATCTACCAACCCCAATTTGTTCCTTCCCAATAGAGCTACTCGCATAGATCTAAACCAGATAGAATAGTTTTCAATACCTGTCAATTGGAACGATATGATTTGAATTCCACTGATATCTGAAGGAGACAGAAATAACGGATGATTGTAGTCTATTCCAGGTGCTTGATTCACTCCCAATGTAGGAGTTGGAGCTGGTGCATGAGTATGGTGCTCAGTTGTATGATTCAGCTGATCTTCAATCGCCATTGTCAACCAAGAACTCAAGAACACTAACAGTAATTGGCAAGTAGATTCTGTGGGATTAAGATCGAACCACAGGCTAGTAAAAGTAGATTTTGTGGGATTAAGATCGAACCACAGGCTAGAGATTATTAGATATGGCTCTGATACCATGAAATTGTATTAAGAAGAAGAAGAAGAAGAGCAGAAAGGTACAGACCCAGTATAGAAGAAGAGGAAGAAGACGGAAGAGAGAAGAAGATGATGAAAAATGAGAAAAATTATTGTTTCAAGTGCACATACACATGTGTGTATATATATATTAACACTTGTCTAACTAACTTAACCACCTACTTAATTCTAATTGGTTGAGTATAGTGAAATGACTAATCTACCCTCTAATGAGTTATGTAACACCTTTCTCAACACTCCTTGTTTATGACGCATTCCTCTTATTTTTCTTGTTTTTATTATGACCGAGAAATCCATCTGAGACCGACCCTTAGGACCAACCGCAATCTTCAAAACTTCGGGATAATGGACTCACCCTTCTATCATTTCCACTTAAATAACAGGCTTAGTTCGTATAGTGCAGGGGCGCATGGCTCGAACCTATGACCTAAGTCTGAAACCTCTACCTTTGCCGCTTGAACTAAACCCTGGGTGCTTTTCTCGTTATTTTTCACAATATATTCCTAAAACTAACTAATTGTATGTCCAAAGCTAGGCTAACGTAGGAAGACAAAAAAGTAGATAATATTTGTTCAGTACCTGAGGAGAGACTAACACAACTTGCAGAAGTTTATTCTGAGCTTTTTCAACTGCTGTCTCGCCGGCTTCATTAGGCATAGTTATAGCATCACTTCTTACACCTGCAACAGATAAACCCAGCTTAAAGAAAACTAATTGGGAGTTCAATATATCAATAGTTTAGATAAGCCCGAAGGGGAAAATGAGAAAATGTTCGATTAATAGACGTACATAGAGAACGAAGTGGAGATAAACGTGTAGATGGAGATAAGAGAGGGAAATGGAGATTGTGCAATAAAAATGGACGGAATAGTGAAGTTTTTGCCCTGAAATGGAGAGGGGAAGCTACGGCGTTAAGGGTTTTCAGAGCAGCTCGGTCCATTCCGGCAAACTACCAATGTCATTCTCCGCTATCTCACCATTATCAACTAAGCTAAGCACTTTTCTGCACTGGTTTTCTCTTTCTTTTCTTTTTCTGTTTTGTCTTTTGTATACATTTATTTGTTCATTTTTGTAAGGCTGTTCGGAAGTCACCTTGTAATTAAATTTGGCTATAATTGAATGTAATCACCGTTATGTTTTGAATCTCTTTTCTTTTTGCTGGTCATCATACTGTATAATTACAAAGTTATTTTTTAATCTATTTTCTTTTATTTTTAATTACTTTTTATTTTTATTCTTTTTTCTTTTTTCTATTTTTAACTTTTTGATTTCTTTTTTTCAAATATTATTTTTTTATATTATTTATGCTTTATTTTCTTATTTCTTATTTCCCAACCTTTAGTTCGCGTGTTTCTACCTAATTCTCATATTTTGTTTCTTTCTTAGTTATTTTTTATTTTTTATTATATTTATCTATGTTATTATTCTAAAATTTCTAAAAAATTATACCTCGTAATTTTAGAAAGAATAAGTCATCCACAAACTTGACTTATAATGAGTGATGTCGTTAAAGTTGAATTTTGTTATTGGATGAGGTTATATGCAAACTTAACTATGTTAAAATGATAGATTACTTTTTAATATGTAAATAATAGTCTCGTTTTCCAGCTTTTATTTTTTGTGATTCTATGTAGTTGCTCGTTTTTTCCCTTCATTTAGCACAATTGTGTTATTAGTCTAGTTTTGAAACTACTCCACCTAATATTAGAAATAATTAATCATTAATAAATTTAGCATATAATGAGTGATCACTAAAGTAGAATCTCATTTGAATGAGGTTATAGATTTATGTTTTCTTTTCTTTTGAATTATATTTACTTAAATTATATTGAAACTTATTTTATGTTATGTTATAATTTTAGATATGAGTATTATGTTTTTTTTGGATTTTGAATTTATGTTATATTTTAGTTTCCATTTTATTTGCTTTACTGTATTCACTTACTCCATTAATTTAGATTGTATGACATTCATTTTTCAGTTAGAATTGACAAATTATTTTTTCGTAAAACATTTGAGTAATGTTATGGCATTATTTATAAATAATCATTTTATCAAGTATGCAGTCCATGATGTTCTTATAAAATATGCACTTTTCATTTTTAATTGATTAAAGTAAAATATTATTAATTTGAAAATATATATATATATATATATATATTAGTTTTACAATATTAGTACAAATATATGATTAGTAATTAATATATTTCAAGAAACAATATCTATCTTAAATGTCAAATTTAATATTATTTATAAAGATATATATTTGTTAAATCTTAACTTTAATTTTTGATAATTAATTTTACATTTAAAATTAATCTAGCTGTGTAATTACACTAGTGTAACCAAACAGTACAATGGTAATTACACTGTAATTACATAATGACAAACAAATAGGTCATCGTATTTATAATATTGTGTAATTATTAGGATGTGTAATCACTACCCTAATAATTATACTAATTTCAATTACCTGATGACTTTCTAAACAGATCCACTAGAGAGAAAATGGCATGTTTTGTTTATGTGGATCAATACTAAATAGTCTACTAACTTTTGTGGAGTTGTTTTTTTGACTCCCCAAACTTTTAGTTCACTACAAGAATTCAGCCTTCTTGTGGCGACCAAAGTCGCTGCAACTTTATGAAAGTCATCGCTAAAACTTATTAGTGGCGACTTTCGTGTTGCTGCAAGTACAACCATAACTAAATGTCATTTGCGGTGATATTACGAGTCGCCACAAAAACCACACATTTGTAGTGACATGGTCGCCACAAAAAGTATACAAATACACTACAAAAAACAATTTCACAAGAATAAATATTATTCGGGTCGACGATGTTTATTCACCTTTAGCTGCGACTACTATCACTACAAAACATTACATATGCAGTGGCAAGTTTTGTCGCCACTGTATATGAGCTTTAGATGCGACTACCATCACTACAAAATAATATATGTTTAGTGGCAAGTTTTTGTCGCCACAAAAGTGGTAAATCCATGAAAAGATTAATGTCTTTTTGTAGCGACTTCGGTCGCTACAAGATAAAGAAACCAACAGTGTCAACTTTCATATCGCAACAAATACTAATTTTTTTGTGAAAAAATTATGTCGCCACTAATACCTATTTTCTCAACAACTTTAATGACCATAATTATATACATTTCCAGTAACAACATGTTACTCTAAAATTTAATATAGGGATATTCATATCAATTTCCAACCAATATTAAAAGCATTCAATAATATGTAACAAACATCAAAAGAATTTCTCAAGCCGAATATTATAAATATTCCAATTACTAAAATAGCAATTACATATATACTATATGATACTTCAATGTGCATTGGCATTGTATGCATATACATATGACCCAAAAAAGAAAATAAAATATTAAGTGCCTTGCAATTGTTTCTTGGTGGACGACATCCTTGATCGGCACTATTGGTTAAGTACCATGTCCCTGCTAGAAGAAAGCAGAAAGCAGTGTAAGGAACATAATGAAATTAGTTATATCCAAAATATGCATAGACAAATAAAGTACGATTTTTGAGTGGGGAATGATATAAATGCAGTCCTAGAGAGTGAGAGTATACTGCAGCATATGTTTCATGTGGCATAGGAAAGGATCTTGACAAAGCAAGGAATGAAATCTTAAGAAACAAGAGTTATAGGCTATGATACATGCCTTGTAAGGATTCAAGGAAAAACTGTGACAAAATGGACTGACATATACGCCCCAAAAACATTAATTTCAATGAAGGTTCTTCATATATAATTATAGCCACAAGAAGAAACCGAAACACTATGTGGTCCCAGAAAATTAAGCTAACATCTAGTTGCATTAGAAATCTTCACTAATTAACTACGGTTGAAGCAAACTGGATGGCATTTGGAACATGGTCAACCAATTCAAGGACTTAACGTAGGAGCACTTTTTGTATGAGATAGCAGTTTAAATCAAGGAGTTATAGCAGTAAGGTGAATTATAGCAGGTGATTTGAGAAAATCTTCCCATTTTATCCAAATAGGCAAGTGTACTACTATTTTGACTAGTTCTACCATTCCAATACACATCCCTCTCAGGATTAGGCCAATATATGCTTGAAACTCGAGGGGAACGATTCTTACAGAACAGATCAAATAGAAATAAAATGCAGCGGAGAACAAAATAATAATACTAATTTTAACTAAAGAAGTTGTAGCAAATTTTAGGAAAGCCTCCTCGTAGACTTTCAAATTTGACTAAACTTTCCGAGAAATCTGAAAGTGTCACGACCTGAAATTCTCACCGACGGGACCGTGATGGCGCCTAACATTTTATTTGCTAGACAAGCCAACGTTAGAACAATTTATTCTTTTTAACAATTTAAAATTAATTAATGAAGATGAACTGATGTAACTGCAATAATCCAAATATAAATGTGGAAGCTAAAACCGTAAAACATTTGCTACAAATCTCTGAGCTCGATGTCTCAAGTGCACGAGCTTCTAGAGTAATACATATAAGGGTCTGAAATAAATATAAAGTTGTCTGAATGAAAATACACGGCTAAATAAAAATAAAGACGGGGACTTCAGGAGCTGCGGGCGCTAAGCAGTTGTACCTCAAGTCTCCGCAGGCTGTCCAATCTGAGCTCTCTAGTAGTCGCCACTGGGACCGTCTCCAAAATCTGTACAGTGTGCAGAGTGTAGTGTCAGTACAACCGACCCCATGTACTGGTAAGTGTCGAGCCTAACCTCGACGAAGTAGTGACGAGGCTAAGGCGGGTCACCTACACTACAACCTGAATGCAGTATATAATAATGACAGAAAAATGGGAATACTGAACAGAATTAAATAGCCAACTGAAAATAATAACTACAGCCTCAAGAATAAACCAGTGTTGTCCAAAATCACCAATCCTTGATAATTCAGATACAAACACCAAAAAGAAAACCAACACAACTCACAAAATGGAAACATATAGGTTGTTGCGGCGCGCAACCCGATCCCACCATACAACACCAATTCCTCTCTTATTTTACCATAGCGATATCAACAACAGTAAATAATATATATTTCACCATGTCAATCCATCCTTATTCCACCTGTTGCGGCGTGCAACCCGATCCTATCGTATAGTATAAATTCGCCTTTATTCTACCTCAGCATATCACTTTTATTTCACTTGTTGCAGCGTGAAACTCGATCCCACCATATCAATATCAAGTACTCAATAAGCACAGTAAAACTCACGATTCAAATTATAGGAAAACCATTTACAATTACAAGACACCAACTGAACAAATGAAAACCTTGTACAATATGATAATCCGAATAAGTAATACTACACAGCGAGACCAATCCACAATTTACAACTACAAGATACAGATAAACCAATTGAGCAAATAGTAGAGGATTATGAAACTATGGAAAGAACTAACACCATGAACATGAGGAAACAATGTCTATACGTAGCAATTAAGCATGGAAACACAATTAGAGCAGGTAACAGTTAAGACAGGGAAAGAGATAATATGAGAAAAGAGGGAAAATAAGGAAAACAGATAATTTGGCAGCGCATAAGTACTCGTCACCTCACATATACGCCGCTCACATGAAATTCACATAGCAATTAGTTCGAGGGTTCCTAATTCTCTCAAGTCAGGGTTAGACACAACACTTACCTCGCTCCAAACCCCACTCAAGTCTCAACCACAACTTTGCCTTTCAAACAAGCCTCTGAACCAACAATATCTAGCAAATTACCAACCAAACGATTCAAAATAAGCCTTAGAAATCACCCATGATTGCAAAAGATTCAATTTAGGTCATTATTGAAAAAGTCAACACCCGGGCCCGCTTGGTCCAAACCCGAAATATATACCAAAACACAATTATCCATTCACCCCCGAGTTCGGTTATGTAATTTGTTTTGAAATCCGACCCCAATTTGAGGTCTAAATCCCAATTTATCAAAAATCCCTAACTCTACCCAAACCCCCAAATTTCCACCATGAAAACACTAGATTTTAGGTTAAAAACTTGTGAAATAAAATGAAAAT